AAATTCCTACATTTAGAAATTTTAAAAAACAGTATGTAACCGGCTTGAGGTGCTCACAAATACCCTACAATTCTTTCCAGTCCTTAAGACAAGTGGGAAAGATGTGGAACAAAAGACTCCAGATCATGAAGATTACTGATGCGATGGCGGCAAACATAAGAGTATTCATAAAATGCCGATATACAGTCAGTTTAACCTAAAACGATTACCTCTTAACTTGAAAAACAGGTATTTCTGGGAACAAGGAGCATCTTTGAATGAGACATAAGTCATAATTTCTGTTACGGACCTCATTCCTCCTTAGCTTCAGCGTTCTCATAGTCGCGCCAAGTGAAGTGAAAATCCAGTAGAAAATGACCATTTCCGTAATGACCAACGGAAGTGCAGCAAACTGCTTCTGCTTAGCAGCTTCAACATGATTCTGTAATGAATTTTATTCTATAGCAGAGGGGGGTTGAACTTGAATAGTTAGGTAAAGACCAATCTTACATCAGTAAAATTTTCCATGTTTTCAATGAAAGCACTTAGTGAAACCTCGCAGAAATGAATGCTTACATCTAATCTCACATTAATCAAAATTAACAAGTTTTTAGAATTTTCCAATATTCCACTAAATACCGCAAGGACAGCAGCATACAACGCCAATTTGATAATAATGACAAAAAAATTATAACAACATATGCTGGAAATAATGAAGCTAAATAGTCACCTTAGATACTCGAGCTAGTCCTTCAATGGCGCAGAAAACGAAGTACACTAATCCAACGCCAGCAACCTGAAATGAATGAGTAACATTCAAGTAGATCAAGAAGTTCTTCCTACAGATGAAAAGTCTAAGAATTTATATAGATTTCACCATAATCAAGATGAAGAAAAGTAGTTTTAGAGAAAAAATATGAAAAGGGATCTGATACTACCAATTCAACATAAAGTCGAACAGGTTAAAAAAGCATTTTCAAATAGACAGCATAAGTTTCAAAAAAAAAAAACAGTTGCTCATGCAATGAAGAGAATTGGTGTCAAAAAAATGAGCGGATTGATTTCAACAAATAGAAGCGATTATCCATGTATACATATAATGCTTAATATGAAGTGCGATATGACGCAAAAACATGTAGGACAGCTAGCACGCTGGTATCGCGAATGAACACAGCATACAAAAAACTGTGATTTTCTGTAGTTTCAAGAAAAATGTATTTAAATTCAAAAAAGTGTCTACACAAAAAATAGAGTGCCACATAAATTTTTCAAGATTTGCAAAATTTTGGAGTAGCCCCTTAGAAGACAAAGCTCTGTAAAAGAAAGTAAAGAAATTTTGAGAATTAGTCTTAAAAACGGTCCATCCAAGCATTCACTAAAACAGGTGCATATAATCGTATAAAACTGAGCAGCTCATAAAAAGAAGAATTACCTGACTGAGGGTATTTCCAAGACGAGGTTTCACTACACCATAACCGACCGAAACGATAATGACCAAAACTCGCGACATAGTTCTCTTTGCACAAGAAACCAGCTCCGCAAGCTTGATATTTCAAAATTATGTGATCTCAAAGATGTAATAGCAAGTTACTACCTCCAAAATTCCTTCAACGCTCCTCCCAGTAGTATTCATCGTTGAATATTCAGCCAAGAAAAAAGCTTTCTCGATCATGCCAAGGATTATAACAGCTCCTTAGCAGATGAAAGATTAAGAACAATAAGAAATTAGGGGACTATAAAGCAAACCTATCCAATATTGTATCCTCAAAATATCCTTGTAATATTTGATACAGAGGATCATCCATATAATAGCAAGGGTACCATAGAAAACACACATCAAAACGTAAAATCTGAATTTTGGAAGAAAAAATGATAGCGATTTCTTAAAATCCTTTAATTCTACCGAAGTAGAGGATAGTCGATGGCGCTGAGGAACCCATGCGGTTGCTTCCATTTCACCGTTATAGTAATATTGTGCTCCTCAGATGGTGAAGATGAAGGATATGAGACTCCAATAATCTACATAATACGTATAAATGCATCCTAGTAAAGATGAAGTAAACTAAAAAATAATGAAGATAAAAGGCTGACCTTCATTACTAGAAAATAAATTCCATCTGCAGGTATAGTCTGCGCTGGGTTCCATGAGCTAAAACGACAGTTTTGAAAGAGGTGGATATACAAGTATAAATAGAGAACTCACGAAAGTGACGTGGAAACAACAGCATTACTTCTCTTATCACGGAAAGGGATCTAAAGAGAACTGCAGTAATATAAAAAAAGGGGAAAAAAGTGGGATACTTACCAAACTTGTAACATTTTTGACAGTCATTGGATGAGGATCAGGTTCCGAGAAGATTATAGAGCCATGTGAATCCTTTAAAAAAAATCCTAAGGAACATGCGTTTTTTAATACAAAAGCTTCTTCATTCTCGCACAGCGCCTTGGATGCATTTACTACTACTTCGTAAGGTTCATGAAAAATTGACCAAAGAGGCGTAATTGCAAGATAAAGCTAAATTAAGAGAATAAGAAAAGAAAGTGTCAAGTTGGGGGACATGAACTAACTTTACATGAGAAGTTTTGCGGTTTTGATTTGTAGTAGACGATT